GGGTGACCCCAGCCAGGTCCTGCATGTAAACACCAAGTGGCTCAAGGACTGCCGTGGGACACTGCCCTTGGTGTGGGGCATCCATGATGGTATTGCATAAGGACTTGCGGCAGTGCTGCATACGAGTCTAAGGTGGAACTTACAACTTTGTGGAGATAAAGAAAAAGGGGTGAACATATGTCCATCCTGTTCAACAGGTCATCCAGAGCATCCACAGCTCTGGACACAGGAGACTTCTTTATGTGGGCAAATCTCTTGCAAAAGTTGAAGCCAAAACAAGAGTTAGAGCAAGCAAAGGGATGATGCAGTTAGTTCACACCTGAGGTGAGGTTATAAACTCAGCCAGCTTGCAGACCCAGAGGACACTCTTGAGGGCTGCTGTGGACTCACCTACAAGTTCCTCCATCCTCTGCTGGGACATGGTGGGTTGGGGCTCTCCTCCACTGGCAGCTGACACAGTCTCTGACTGGGTGCCACCACATCTGTCACCCACCTTTGCCTAGGAGAGCCTGGGTGGAGCTGTGGCTCTGTATCACATCTTTGTCCCACTTGGGTCCCCTCCTTTGGCACCAAAGACCCCACGACAGGGTCACTCTGCCATGCTTCTGTGGGCACCCTCAGTACACAGCAGCCAGGAGAGCTCCAGCATCTCCACCCCAGCCTGCTGGATGAGGGTGGCTGGGCTGGCAGGAGCAGAGCTCAGTCGTTCCATCAGCCAGTGGCACTGGGATGTGGTGGGAGTTAGGCTCTTCTGCTGCTTTCATGGCGTCTGACTGCTCCCTGGCTGCCACCTGGGACCAGAGGCCAGGGCAGTGGGCTCAACTCACCCGTGCCCTGAAGCCCTGGCTCTACAGGAGAGCACTGTTTCAGGCTGGAGTTGAACTGGTGTCCATGGGTTCTCAGCCCACCCTGGGCAAGGACAAGCAGGGCATGCCCTGCCTGCACAGCCAGGCCCACATGGGATGTGGTGTGCACTGCAAGTGCCTTAAGGAAAGGACAATCTCTCTAGGATGTATCATCTAGTACAGGTTTATAGGGAAGGGATTAAAAAGGGGGAATTATCTTCTCTCTTGCAATTGCCAGGCTCTCAGTGTAGAAGGCTGGGTCCATCAGCTATTTTCAGTGCAAGTCTTGGCTGTGGAGATGATGGGGAGTCACACCAGGCTCCATGGTCACCTGCAGGTCCTGCGGCTCACAGGAGTCCTCTCCTGCCCTGGGTCCCCAGCCAAGAGTGCAACCTTCTAAAAGCCTATTCCAAGGGTCAAGGAGCACCCTGAAGGTCCTGGGCAACCTGGTCTAGGTGACCCTGCTTGAGCTAGGGACAGAAAGCCCAAAGACATAAGAAAAACGAAGATGAAAACTACCCTAAAACCTCCCCAGGACACACGGGCTTCTCATGAGAGGTCAGATCCTTATGCTAGGAGGAAATTCCCACCATTTTCTGCCTTGCCTTAGCCCTAGGCACATCTCAGTGCCACAGTGTACTCGGGAGGTGCCTGGTTTTACTGCCCTGGTGAATGCATTTGTTTAAATTATGAGAACTACCTAGAAGGAAGCAGCTCTGCAAGCAGGAGCTGGTACCTGGCTGATACATATCACTGCACTTCAAGGTGTAGGTTAGGTAAGTGATGAGTTAGCAGGACCCGAGTTGACCAACAGCACGAGGAGCAGCAGCTCAGAAGCAGGGACCCACTTGTCAGCATGTGTTGAGGCTTGGCAGAAACCACGTGGGCTGGCAAGCTGGAGAGCAGGAAATCTCACAGGGTTGGGGCATTTCTGGAAAGCAGAGTCTGCTTTGCTTTGGTGTCCAAGGTAAACCGGGTGCTGGTATTTTCATCTCTTTGAAAATGAGATGAAGGGACCAAAGCAGCTTGACATGAGAAAAAAATTGCCACGTGCTCCAGGTTTGCTTAACAATGTGTGTGTTGGATGCGACTGTGAGGTTCTACAACTGATGGGGAGATCTGGGTGCCTACAGCAGTAAGTGTTGTATCATGCTAGGTGAATCATTAACCTGCAGAGTAAGGTTAACAGGTCACAGCATGTATGTCTGCGTTACTCCAAGTGTGGGCAGAGTCGGGGCCGCCGTGCAGCCAGCTCCACCTGGAGCACAGCAGACCCGGGGGGTCCTTTGCTGGCAGGACTGCAGCCTGTTGGCTGTGGGCCTCAGCCATCCACACCCCGGGCCATCATCGTACAGCTCAGCAAAGGGGTAGTGAGTGCAGAACAAGCCTAAAAGCTTGAGGTTTCTTCCTTGAGCCCTACACATCTCCAGATAAATCCAGTAAAGGAAGTAGCCAAGCTCACCCGGCCTTGGGCCCCAAGGGATTTCTCCCTCCTGCTAGAGCTGAGTCTGGTGCAACCAGACCCTGGGCTTCTCCTGGCTCAGTCCAACGAAATGGCTGTTGCAGCTCACATTTGTAGGTCCAGCCTAGAAACAAGGCAGACACACAGAGACACACAATCTCTACAGCAATTTCTACAGGGGGTGAGCCGGAGGAACAGCCACACCACGGAGCCTCCAGAGAAGCTGCAGATGTTTACCAGCAGCAGGATGAGGCCAGCTGTGCCCAAGGGTGTTAAAGGGCGTTGGCAGTGACAGAGCAGGGCAATAGCACAGGGCAGAAATTTGCAGAATGAGCCCCAGAGGCAAGGCGACTTTGCTGACACAATGGATTTCATGAAGGAGGCCGGGACGCGGGAGCTTCCTTGTCCTCAAAGACAGTGTCCTGTGCCTGTGTTGCCATCAGAAATGGTGACTCTGCAGTAGCACCAAAATTTCGTGAGCAGCACAGGGCGCCCATGGGCAGGGAGTGAATCTGGCCTAGAAAACCACTGAGTTAACTAGCAAATAGAGCGGCTCTTCCAGAAATCTGCTAGTGGAATATCCCTGAAGAAAGGACAAGTGCTGGTCAGAAGGTGGCTTGGTTTTGTTTCAGATACTCACAGCACCTCCAACGTTGCTTCAATTCATGCTGGTGTTCATGTCAGTCAACTTGGAGGGCCAGGGCAGCTTCACAAGCTCTCAAGCCTTGGGACCACCTTTACCACTGTGCCCACACGGCATTCACAGTCACCCTGCAACCTCCTACCCTCTGGGGACAACAGCCACCTCTCCTACCCTCTCTGCCAGAGGTTCTGGGGGCATGCAGGGACAAAGTTTTATTTTCATCAGTCTGGTTTTGGTTTACACCCTGGTCAAAGCAGAACTGCCTGTTTTTCTTGGAACGCACAAATGAAAACCCAAGAGAAGCCTCATGAGCGTTGCAGCGCAGCTCCATCCTGCAACAGACCTAAGTCAGGCTTATGTACTGGTGCAGTCTTCCTAATTTCAAACACCACCCTGACTACTCAAAGATGGAGGAGCTGTAAGAAGGCATAGTTTCTATTTCACTCACGTTTCAGTTAGCGATGATGCACTTACCTGTGAGAGGCCAGGTCCTCAGCTGAGAGTGGCGACTTCGAGCGGAAACGGCAACTCGGGCAGAGGAGACCAACGCGCCGCTTTTACTGCATGCGTGGCCAGGCAGCAACTGGTGGCTCCTTCCTGATGGATCATCATGCCTGCAGCCTTCGCAAGCAGGCCAAGATTTGCACAGGGCAGAAGACCCCCAGGTGACCTAACGCATGGAGGTCCTTGAGGTTCCCCTGCCAGCCTAGCACAGGGAAGAGAGGCAAAGGGATGGAGGGCACAGCTGGAGTCCTGGTCCTGCAACAGCAGCGAATCCTTGGCCAAAAATGGCTCCCAGGAGCCCTGGCAAGGGGCCTTGCTCATTGCTGCAGAGGAAGGGGAAAAACGCTTGGGGACCTGTGCTAAACTGCATGTGGGAAAAAACTCGTTTCTGACCCCAAAACTGGCAATTGGTTGTTCCCCTGTTCCTGGGGGGATGCAGTGCCTATGGGATTGCCACGCCTGTGGAGATTCTGTGCCCACAGGGATGCCATGCCCATGGGGATGCTGTGCCTACGGTGGTGCTGTGCCCGTTTGGGCGCTGTGCCTACGGGATTACCATGCCCGTGGGGCTGCTGCGCTCGTTTGGGTGTCATGCCCATGGGGAGGCCATGCTCACGGAGGGGCCGTGCCTACAAGGATGCCATGCCTGTAGTGGTGCTGTGCCCATTGGTATGCTGTGCCCACGGCCTGCTGGCGCTGTGCAAGGTCTGCCGGTGCCTGCTGCGGGGTCGGGGGGATCAGTGGGACTGTCAGCTGGAACTGCAATCTGGACCTGTCAGACAGTGAGTGCAACCCCTGCCTCCACCCCAAAAGGACTTTGGCTTCCCCCAGCTACAACTGCAGGTGATGGCCCAGTCCCCACCGTGGCCCTGCTGCCCTGCATCCTTCTCCAGCCCTGTCCCACCACCATCACAGCACCCACTGGTCTCCTCTGATGATGCTCCTTGGTGGGGGTGCATTGCCCTGGGATACTCCAGCCTCGGGCCAGTCCATCTTCTCTCATCCCTCCTCAGGTGCTGCCAGAGCTAGAAAAGGCCACGGTGGCAGGGTGGGATAACGCTCAATCTGCCCAAGACCGTCCGAGTGCCCCCCAGCTCTAAGTGACCTGCTGCTCCCATGAAGAGGGACGGGTGGGACGTGTCCTACAGCCACTTGCCACCACTGCCAGCCACAGGCCTATCAATAAACCCCAGTCCTCAGCATCTCTGCCTGGGTTGCTCACTGCAGGCGAAACGGAGGGGACATGGGTGTCACAGCTGGTGGCTCTGCCCCCATGCTCAAGCCCTGCAGTGCCATGGTGGAGACACGCACAGCCCCCAGCCATGGCGAGGGACCTGGAGCTGCTTGCTCTGCTACAGGGAGGTGGGAACAGGACAGGGTCCTCCCAGCGCGCTACGGGCACCATCCCTGCCCGCAGGCTGCCTGCAGAACGTGACACTGGCAGGGGCCTGCTGGGGTAAAGACCCGCTGCTGGTCTCCCCTGCGTTGATTTTTGGCATCACCTGCCCTGAAGGGCAGTGCTCCTGCAAGAGGAGGTCACCTCTGATTACACCTTGTCGTCGTCCTGAGAGCAGAGCGAAACCCCCAGGAAGCACCAGAGGGTCTCTGGCTGCAGCCCTGGGGCTGCCCCCAGGAGCAGGAGGCAGAGCCAAGCCAGAAGCACGTACCAAAGCGCAGGCTGCAGCCCGGCACTCACCCAACGGCAGGGAGCCACTTCAGATTACGGGCCACGCTGCCCCTCGGGTGCTGGCAACCCCTTCCCCTGGAGCTGGGGGACAGCCAGGCTGCAGCCTTCCCACCGCCAGCCCCGCAGGGATCAGATGGGGACACGGGCACAGCTCAACCCCGCCCCAGCTGCAGGCATGGCCCATGGGTGGGAGATGTGGGCCACAGCCCTGCCTTCCTCCCTCCCCCAAAACTACACCTACCTTCTACGCTCCATTTATTGACAGAAATTTAACATTAAAAAAACAGCTGGGGGCCAGCACAGACCGGTGGAGCACAGCTCCAGCCCCTGGTGCTCCCAGACCCCCACGACAGGCAGCCAGGAACCGGCCAGTGCAGTCCTTGGCACAGCTCCTGCTCTCCCTCGGTTGCTGCAGGATGGGTGCACAGCTTTGCTGGGGTTTGGCACATGGCCAAGGGTGTCCATGACCACTCTTCCGTGGACATCAGAGCACAGGCCTGGTGCAGCCAGGAGGAACAGCCCACCATCTCACTGCCAGAGCTGGGGGTTGGTGTGCAGCAGCCACTCAATGGTTTCGGGCAGGACTGGTGAGGCAGAGGGCAGCACAGCAGGTCCCACAGGACAAGCAGTTAGAGAAGAGGCAAAGGAGGAACAGTGCACTGCAGGGCTCCTTGCTGTCTCTCTAGGAGCTTCTGGCATAGGGCTGGACTAGGCAGGAGGGTGCAGGCGTACCTGGGAGGAGATGGTGAGGGTGAAGTCTCCAGCGCAGCTGCAGTACACGGGCATGTGTGTCTCCTTTACACCATGACACTTCTTGCACACCTGGAGGCCAAGGAGTTTTTGGTGGGCCAGGAGACGAGGCCAAGCCCCTCTGCCAGGGCCAGAGTGAATACGTCCAGCCTCAGCCAGCCAGGAGGACGGGCAGAGCAGGGGAGCCCCGCACTCACCAGGTCCTGCAGCACGAAGGCCATCAGCTTCTTCTGCAGGGCTTCCACTAGGGCTGTTTCGATGGCATCAGGGTCGTACTGTGCCTGGCAATTGGAGCAGACCCAGCTGGGCAGCACCGACCCATCCTAGGGGCAAAGAGGAGGGAGGTGAGCACCAAGAGTCCCAAGCACTGGGAGGGTGTAACCGGTTTCTGAGAGGACAGAGCATCAGCCAGAGCTAAGGGATGGTCAGACCTATCACAAGCAGCTAGAAAAGGAGGTGAACGGAAAAGGGCCTTTAGTTGAGCTTGATCAGCAGCAAGCGGAGCTGCAATGCAAAGGGGTTGAGAGAGAAGATGGGTAATGTGATTGACCAGCCTTCCAGCACCGCTATGCTGGGGCCTCTGGTGTCCCCAGGAAAGAGGTTGCACCTGGGAGAGGGCAGGGTCCTTGCACAGGTCCAGGTCCCTGCAGAAGTTGCAGTTCCTGCAGATGACTTCAGGGAGCATGTAGGAGCGGCAAGGGTCCCGAAACTGAGCTGCTTCTGAGAACTCGCCCACCTCGATGAGACGCAGCAGGTCCCGGCGCAGTTTGTTCACCTGGTTGGTTATGTTGGTGTCCAGAGAGAGGACCTACAAGAATAAGAGCCAGGTGAGCCTACCAGCAGAGAAGCTTGTAGCCTTGTGACCTCGTACAGATGCAGGGCAAGACAAAGTGGTTGTAGATTGCTCCTGGAGGAAAGCTGCAGCAAATCTGAGTCATGGACAAGGACCAGAAGTTGAGCCTTGACCGCAAAACTTCAGAAAAGGAGCCTGGCCCACCCTGCTGACCTTGCAAACATATTTGATGAACTCCAGAGCTGGGTTATTGAGCGGCAAGTAGGAGCCAGGCAGCACCGGGAACATGTCTGAAGGCTCAGTGGCGTTACGAGAACCAGCCATCTTCTTCTGGATCTTCTGGGTGATGGTGAAGAAGCTCTGGGTGAGCTCATTAGCCACATAATCCTGCGAGAAGGTGATCATGCCTAGAGAGACGGAGCAGAGCACACCCGAGCTGTATGGTGGCACACTGGGACAGCAAGATGGGCAGCTCCCTGCCCGCACCAGGGCTGCCCGGTGGCTCAGCACTCACCAGGCATGGCCCCTGTCTCCCCCAGCACCTCCTGGGACACCTGGCTGGTGCTCCTCCGCTTGACTGGGGTGCTCCCAGGGGCGTTGCGCCGCAGCTCCTCCTTCATGCTGTGGTACACGGCCACAACGTAGGCTGGGGAGACATGGGCAAGGCTCGAGCTCCAGCCCACGCCAGCAGCCACCCCACTGCAGGCTCTCCCTGGTACCCGGGAGGCACAAGAGACTTTGTCCCCTCTCTGGGACAGCTCACCCGACACAATCATCAGGAAGTAGCTCTGGCAGGAGGCAGCCTGGGGCAGGAACTGTGCGATGTTCCAGCTGTTCTCCAGCAGCTCCTCCATGTTTGGCTCCCCTTCCCCTTCCTCATCTTCCCCTGCTGCCTCCTCCTCCTCTTCCTCGCTGTCCTCCTCCTCCAACACGTGCCTCTTGCTGGTGTCCTTCTGGAGGAGTCAGCAATATTGCAGTGGTTCCTCATGCCCAGCCAATGCCTCCCCACTCAGCTCAAACCCCAGCACCCTGCTCCTGGGAGACTGAGCGCTTCCCATCTCTTACCTCTCTGTAGTGGATGCGAGAATCCACTTTTCCCTTGATACCTCCATAATTTGCTGGATCCATCCAGAGCAGGAACTCCCAGCAGCGGGAGAAGGAGATGGTCAGAGAGTGGAAGATCTCCTTGGAGTGGATGCTGGAGGGAAGAGACTGCAGTCACGCACAGTGTCGGCACCATCCCTAGCTCAGAGCCTTCTCTGTGGAACACAATGGGGAGGAGGTGGTGCTGGCAAGGAGGGAAGGGGTTCCCCTCTCCTATCCAACCACTGGTGGTGACCCCAGGGGAAGCCATGCCTGAGGACTCTTTGGTCCCTGTGCTTGTGTCAAGGGGCCTGTACCATGGCTGGGATGCCGAGAGCCAGACAGGGGATGAGGTGCTGGGAACCTCAGGATCTCCTGAAGGTCTCTTCTGGAATGAATCCTATGAGTATTCTTGGAATATTGACTATAGAGGACAGCTAAGGGACAGATTTCTACTTAAGGCATGACAGCAAGAGAACTGGGCAGCCTTGTCCCTTCAGTAGCTTTGCCAAAAAATCCCAAACCAAATAATTCAGTGCTGAGGCCTGTCAAAAGGTAAAGAAGTCAGCACCCTCCTTCCTTGCTCCAAGCCCTGCCTCAGCTCCATCATCTGGGAGACTCATCTCCAGGCCTGGCTCGGGAAGCGTACCCCACCTGTTGATGATGTACTCCATGTAGCTGATGGCATCCTCAATGCGCCGCTTCTTGGTGCACAGAATGATCCGGTTAAAGTTGGCATAAACCACCGAGGAGCCCAGACGCTTGAACTCAGCCACCAGCCTGCAGGCAGGACACAGGAGGGGGCATTAGCAGGCAGGAACGCAAAGCCTGAGGAGCAGATGCAACCCCTGGAGGACACGCTGTCAGGAGTCAAGCATGTCAGCGATGCCACGCGTGGGAGCTCACCCAAACAGTATGGAAGGTCCAGCCTCTTGCCCACCTCTCTGGAGGCTGCAGCAGAGAGGAGTGACTGTGGGTGCCAACAGTGTCCCCGTCACGAATGCCACACTTGTCCCTTCCCCGTTCACCAGCCTGGCACACTCCAGGTCTCACTTACTGCAGAAAAAGCTTCTTCATCATGTTGTGGAGCGTGCGGTGCAGCGCTGGGTCATAGAGCAGGGAAGAAGGAGAGCGGAGCCAGCGGTAAAAGTGAATGACCTGGTTGTCTGCGTAGACATTGTGATACTGTGTGATCTCCTTCACCCAGCTCACCACCATGCTCTTCAGGATCCTGCCAGGGAGCAGAAACCAGCATTACCCCACCAGCCATGAGTGACCCTTTCCCCCTTCCAGACAGGAACATGTTTTCAGATACACTGGAGGATTCAGAGCAGGAATTCTGCCAGAGCAGAGATGCGTGAGCCTTCAGCACATGAGCCACAGGGTAAATATGTGCGTCTATAACCTGGTGGGGCATGAAGAAAGAAGAAACCGGAAAGGGCAAAGTCTTCACCAACATCCTCATATATCTGCTGGCTCAGCCACCAGGCAGTTCTGAGCCCAGGATCTTCAAAGGTCTGTTGGATAACATGCCTGCCCTGCCCTTGAGACCTGAATTTATATTTAGAGTACCCCACAAGCCCCATTGCTGACACAAGTCTGGGAAAGGCTAAAGCCATGAGGAAACGAGAGGTAGGACCCCTGAGGGGACCTGTCAGGATGGAGACAAGATGCTCCACCTCCTGTGCCTCCTAGAGCCATACCTGAAAGTGTTGGAGCAGAGGGCAGTTTCATCATAGCTGGCCGGGATGTTGGCAGCTTGGTTCCCCGTCACCATGTCTTCTAGGGACGCCTGCTGAATCACGTCAAAGCTGATACTCATGCTGGAGCCTCCTTCCATGTCGTTTATGTGGTGGGACTGCAACACTGTGTTTACAGCCAGGCTCTGGATGTCCAGCTCCAGACACACTAACAGCAAACACAACCTCTCAGCAGGCAGGCAGGGCAAAGGACCGACAAGGACACCCTCCCTGCCCCTCTGCCTGAAGGGCTTTTCACAGTTACAAGGGTGATTTATAGGTGCTGCTGCACCGAGTAGGGAGATCCTTTCACAGGCATGACTGTATTGACTGGCACTTGTCTTCCAACATGACTTGGACCTACTAACCCTCTGGGGACCACCAGCTTTTTCTGGAAGCTGCAGCAGAGGAGCTCAGAAGAACGGACTACCACTCAAGCTGCATCTGCCTCTGAGAAAGATCTGTCCTAAGGTCACCGTGGGGACCAGTTGAGCTAGTTTGTCCTTGGGCTGACACACTGCAGGTGGTCTTTTGAGTGCTGCTGGTGGTGGCCACGAATGGAGAAGGAATCTGCGTTTGGATGCCTGCACACATTACAGGTGAGACATCCACGCCCCAGGACACGTCCCTTTGCATGCACCTTTTCCAGATCGCTGCTGAAACACCAAAGCTGCTAGTGACTACCATCAGCACAGTGATTCTTTAGAGACCACATCCATCCCTCTACAGGCCTTGCAGAGCAGCATCCAGCTCTGCCCCAGCTCAGCGCTACCTCCTTACTCCCTCCTCACCTGTGGAGTAGCAGCCGGGGTTGTTTATCTCCACGGAGGCTCTCTCATCAAACTCCATGACTAGGCGGTTGTCATCAGCCTCCTTACCCCCCAGGTCTGGGCGGGCCGTGAGCGAGAGCCACAGCAAATGGTTGTGACGACGGAGGTGGCGCGAGAAGAACAGGTCAGAGCCAAAGGTGGAGATGTCATCGGGGAGGTTCCCAATGGGGATGTGGTAGTACCTGGGGCACAGAGAGGTGAACGGCGTCGGGGTGAGCACAGCTGCAGAGAAGACAGGGAACCCCGCCTGTCCCATCAAGGGATGAGGCAGCCTCTAACGGTCACATCAAGGGCATGGCAGGCCCAGGGGCACGCCGCCGCCCCGGGC